TTTTTGTCTGCCTCCTTGATAACAGGAATTCCGTGAACCTAGAGATGCTGATGATGCAAGACATTCATTGAATGGTCGAGACCTAGATGGAAGCCGTATCATTGTGGAGTTTGCCAAGGGAGTAAGTTTTATGATAACTTCACTACCATAAGTTTTCTAGAAGGCAGTGGATGCTATATGAAACCGAATGAGAAATTTAATATTATTTGGTTAATGTTTTTTAAGTAGTCATTTGCCTAATGCCGTCTGATTTTTGGATTGTGTGACACATTCAAGTTTGCATGTTCAGTTCTGTTGCTGCTTAGGGTGCTAGTAATATGTCTAAATGCTGATGTGGATTTCTGAAATCAGACAATGTAGACCTATAGATATAAATAATTAAAGCAGCAAAATATAAGATGCTTGTGGCTTGGTAATAAACTGATATTCTCATGGATATGCTTTATGATCATGAGTTTGATGTTTAAATTAAGTGTAAGTAGCTGCTGCTGCTGGGAAGAAAGAGATTAAAAGCCTTTTATGTAACCAGGCATTAGAATATCATTGTTGCCACTCGGTCTCTTTATTAGAAACTATAAGAAGATTGTTGTCCTAGACTTGACTCATTAGTAGGGGTGTGCAAAAAGATCCTATCTGATTGATCCGATTCGTTGATCCGATCTGTTTTTTGATTTTTGGATAATTCGGATAGGATATCCGGGGGAAAATTCGGATAATTGGGTTGGATACGGATTGGGTAAATTCCATTTTCGGATTATCTGAAATAAATTGGGCTTTTAGATTTTAAATTCCTTTAGCCCAATTAATAAGTAACCCTCAACTCATTAAAGCTCGGTTGCCTTGCTCATGTAGAGCAGTGGGAAAAAAATTTCCTCGTATAAGACTCACCGTATTATTTCCTGATGTAGGGTCATTGCTATAGTATCAAAAGGACGCTAAGAACACCGTGCGACTTCAATTTTTTTGGTGGAAGACGCATAGATTACCATGCGTCTTTAGTTTTGCCAAGATTAAATACGCATAGCAGTCATGGAGTCTGCAACTAAAGACTCCATGCAATCCTGGAGTCTTCTAAATGTATTGTAGCAATTACCCTACTCTGGGAAATAATGCTTAAGGTGGATTATTTTGGAATTTTTTTTTGAAGAATTTTACCATTATCCCATTGAAGCTCTAACCCAATAAAAATTAGAATATTTAATTATTTATTGTGGGTAGTAATTAAATATATATATAATATAGTAGAGGTATCAAATAAATTACATTAAATCACAAAATTTAATTTTTTTATGTCAAATTAAATTTTATATTCGGATCGGGATATTCGGATATCCAATTTTTTTGGATTGGATATGGATCGCTATTTTAGGTTTCCGAAATTTTCGGATGTCCGAATTTTTTGATCGGATCGGATCTGATATCCGAATTTGCACACCCCTACTCATTAGTGTATCTGATTTGAATCGCAATATAGGTGCCCCGCGGCCCTGGTGGAGCTCGAGATTATGCTGGAAGAGGTCCTACTCCTGGCTCTGGCCGCTGCTTCAATTGTGGAATTGATGGTCATTGGGCTCGTGATTGCAAAGTCGGGGATTGGAAGAATAAGTGTTATCGCTGTGGCGAACGAGGCCACATAGAAAGAGACTGTCAAAATAGTCCAAAGGAGCTGAGGTCATTTCCCTTCCCTCTCTTTTTGTTGGTCTGACCAGTTTGCTGCAAATTGGAGTTTTTTCCTACCATTTGAAAAACTTATATTTTGTGTACTTGGGAGTCAATTTTATTTGTTTTATTGTTGCAGCCGTAGACCTCGTAGTTACTCTCGCTCACCTAGTCCCCGACGTGGTCGAAGCAGAAGCCGCAGTTACAGCCGTGGCCGTAGTGACAGGTTTGTATTGAGCTCTACCTGCGTCAACAAGATTCTGGTTGAGATACGCAAATTGTTTTGGTCTTGTAAGCTGGTCGGGCTCATTCTTTTTTGTGTTGAATCTCTCGACCTTCCACAGTAGGTCAAGATCACCTGTGAAGCGAGAAAGGAGTTTCGAGCGTGATGATAGAAGATCAAGGAGTCCCAATCGCCACAGGCGGTCTCCATCCCCAACCCGAGGGAGGAAGCAGAATCCGGTGTGCGGTGGAAGAAGCCCCTCCCCAGCCCAAGGGAGGAAGCAGAGTCCACCGCTCGATGAAAGAAGCCCACAAGAGAGGCGGAGCCCATCCCCAAAGGATCACAGACATGCTAATGGTTCGGATTACAGTGCGAGTCCCAGGGGAAGTAGCAGAACTCCAGATCGTGAAGCTGATGCTGAGGACAGGCCTTATAGGGGATCCAAAAAGGAAAACGGCCAAAGCTGCAGCCCCAGCCCGCCCCCTAGGGAGGACCGAAGCCCAGTTTACGATGATGAAGACGACGATAATCATGCTTCTCCGAGACGCAGCGAGTCGAATTAAGCTGCGGTGGTTTGAATGGTAGGACCTGGTTACAATCTGTGTTTGCTAGAACTTTTGAGATCTTGATGTATATTTTGATGGATTAGTTTTGCGTTATAAGAAATTAAGCACTTTTAAGATTTATTAAAGGCTTAATATAAAATAAAAATAAGTGACTAAAATTAGGTATCTAAGTTATAGACCTGATGTTAAAACTATTTTTCGGTAAATTTAGATGTTTAACAATTTCAATGTTATATTTTTAGGAGCCTGGGTTGTTATTTTAAATTTTATCGTTAAATAACATGTGTTGTTTTTATATAATTTTAATATTTTAATTTTTTTTAAATTATCTAAGCGTTCCGTGTTATTCAAGGTAGAATTTAATGTTTGTTATAATTAAAGTAATTAAAAGTGTAATGTTAAAAAAATTTAACTATTTAAATAAAAAAACTGATATAATTTGAATATTTAATTTTGTATTAAATTATAAATGATTTTTTTTATATTATCTTGACAAAGATTATTCTATAACCGAACTATTATGATAAAAGTAAATATTTTATATTAGATCAAGAATAAGTATTTAAATTATTTTCTATATTCTTTGGTATTTTATTTATTAAAATACATGTATAATGTTAATTTCATTTGTTTTAGATCAATTATCCATTCAATAAATGTATGACAAATTATTCTTTCAATATATGAATGATATATAATTTAAAATTAGATAAAGTATATAAATATTTTATCGATTATAAGATGTTATTCTATAAAGTTTATTATAAGGTGTTATTTTATAAAGTTTTTTGATAGAACATTTATAAAATTTATTATAAAGTTTTATCAATTATAATGTTTATTTAGTTGAGTCTCTTGATTATAATAACGAATTGCCTGTCCAACTCAGTTGGTAGAGCGTAATGCTCTTAATCTTGTGGTTGTGGAATTGAGTCCCACGGTGGGCAATTCATAATTCTGACTGCCGGAGGTCTTCCACGGAAGTTGCTCTCAATTTGGTATTGGGGCAGCTTACTACCTTACTCCCCTCACCCCATTACATATTGGAATAGGGTCATCTAATTTTTTTTTCTTGATTATGATAACCTTATAATAAACTTTATAGAATTAGATAAAGTATATAAATGTTCTATCGATTGTGAGATGTTATTTTATAAGTTATTATTTTGTTGAGTCTCTTGATTATTAAAAGTTACTGAATAATCTATTAATTATAAACACTACTTTGTTAAGACATTCGATTATTAAAAATTATAAAATATTTACCAGATTATACATATGTTTTCTTAAAAATTGACAATTGTCTGAACTGGACGTTAATTAGTTGATTGGGATATGAACGTTTCGGGTTCAAACATCACATATTTTAATGATATAAACATTTATTATCAAATGATTAAGAACCTTAGATGGGAACAGAGAAGAGATTGTGAATTGTTTGATGCATAAACAAAACCAATTGAGCAGATATCATACAAAAGTTCCCTTCTTCTCTGGGAAAATGAAGTTCATCCCTTTTGTTCTTTTATATTTGTACAAGTTTTTGATGTGTTATTAAACCGTAACGTTTTGATTCGGTCTCATTTTGCGTAATAATTAAAGGGTTAACTACACGGATGATATTTTATATTTTTAATTTGATCGATTTTTAAATCAGTCACTGATTAAAAAAAAGTAGGTTTGATTCTTTACTTTATCGGTTCATTCTATTTTAATCTCGCTAGTTAGTTTAATAGAAATGTTATACGGCTTCGTCGTGATTAATCTTGATCGACTTGGGTATCTGACTTTGGTGGGTGAGTCTTCCAATGGGGATTTTCTGCATACACAATGACTTGAGACTTTACTTAAGTGATATCAAATTGGTTACTACTTGAACCAACCCCGTTGATTTATTTGAATATACTTTTAATAGAATTTTATGCTCTTAACGGGTCGTGAAATAAAATTTAAAATAATTTTTCAATTTAATTCGTTTTCTATAATATATTAATTCTAATATTAATTTTTTTTTAAAAATTAATGTTTCATGTCACTTAACTCGATCAGCTAATAATCAATTCGGTCTAATTATATTTTTATTTAAATATATATTTTAATAGAGCTCTCGAATCAAAATGTGCCCGTCGAGAAAAAGCTAAAGTCGGGTAGGTGGTAAAGGAATTGATGTTATTTTTCAAGGTGTTGGGTTCGAGGGTATGAGTGTTCAATATTAAGTGGTTGAGAGTTATCTTCGAACAGATAATATATTGCACTAAAATAGATCAAAACTGATAGTTTATGTACTAAACACGTAAAGTTCTTTATAGATACTAAAATGAAATGAAAATTAAACGTTTGGCATGATTTTAAAAAACTGAAAATTTAAGTACTAAATATGTAGTTTACCCATAAAAAACAAAGTCGGGTACCAGAAAATTCCAAATCGGATTCAAGTGCGACCCGATACCCGATTTCGAATGCCTTCGGAGAAAAAGCTTCAGTTTATGTATTTATTTAATATTATATTTCTTTGTTCTTGTTGAGAAAAACAATCGGGTTCGTTTCAGAAGATTTCTTCAAATGCCTCACACCTCATCTCCCTTCCTTTAATTCGTCTCTCTCTCCTTTACTTCGAATCATTCTTAGCTTCTTCCCCAAAGTTTCAGGTAAAACCCTAACTCTCTCTTCCCATCTCTCTAAGATCCACGGAAAGTTTTTAACCTTTTTTTTTTGGAAAATAAGATCCATTTTTTTATTATGTTTTTTAATTTAAATATAATGATTTCAGTGAAGTAAGATTCCATGATTTTGAGTTCTTTTAACGATTTATTACGATCGTTACTGTTAAATATTTTAATTGGTTTAGTGAAGTCGTGAGTGAGAAGAAGATTGATTGTAGGAGTAATTATGTGATCCCCCCCCTTTCAATTGGTTGACTATTTTTTATTGTTTGGAAAGAAGTGACGAGGAGTGGAAGGACGAGACTTTTGTTTACATTTTTTAGTTTGAGATCGAGGAAAGTGGTAAATAGGGGGAATGGGGTTTTAGAATTACGTGGTCTTGATTATTTTATGCATGTATTTTTAATGGTTATGAAGTGGTTTGCGCTTCCAATATTTTTTCTGATGTAAACATGCTATTATTTGTAGAGATATAGTTGGCGAAATAGGACTTGTGCTTCTGTATCTTGAGTCTTTCTTCACAGCTTCTGTGCTGGAATTTTGGGTATTATAGTTTATTACTATGTTACTTGGACTTATGATTAAAAATGTTACTTGGACTACGGCGTTTTAGTTTTGGACGCTTATATGCTCATCCCCCCCCCCCCCCCAAAAAAAAATATTTCCATGTATTTGAAGTGTCCTTGGAGGATCTTATCCACATTCCAATTCCACTTACAATTTGGATTTCGGACATTACCTTCGGACACGGATTTCAAGAAAATTGAAAACTTGGATAATCATGGATTTATAAAGTAGTAATTGAAAATAAATTGTTCCAATAGAAATTACCGTGTTATGGGGTTGGCTACAATGTTTTGTGCAACATAGCGTAGGATTTAAATGCTGGATGAGATTGTTTTCAAGAATTTTAGTTCCAAACTAGCCGGCTGGAAAGCTAATTGTCTCTCATTGGCGGGCAGGACAGTTTTATTAAAGTCGGTGTTAACATCCCTACCAATATTCTTCTTATCTCTTTTTAGAATGCCTTGTAAAATTGGTAAGAAGCTTAATTCTTTAATGGCCAGTTTCCTATGGGGGGATAATGAGGACAAAAGGAAGATACACTGGGTTAATTGGAAATCAGTCTGCACGCCTCTAAATTGTGGTGGCCTTGGTGTTCTTGATGTGAACATATCTAATCGGGCTCTTTTGGGAAAATGGGTGTGGAAGTTCGCCAATGAAAAAAATACTTTGTGGAAAAGTGTGTTATGTTGCAGGCACAAGGTAAGTAGTAATTCCATGTCTATTTGTAAGGTTTTTTCGCCCAAATCTTCTTGGATTTGGAGAGGGATTGCCAACAATTTCTTGAAGAACGACTCGGAGGGTGAACGTATCAGATCTAACTCCAAGTTGAAACTGGGAAATGGAAAGTCTATTGCATTTTGGACGGATTCATGGGCTGATGAGTCTCCTTTAAAATATCTTTTCCCTAGAATGTATGCGTTGTCAACAAATAAATGGGGTATGGTCGCTGAGTTTGGAAGTTCAGATTCGAACGGTTGGGTGTGGAACATCGATACCAGAAGGAATTTGTGTGACTGGGAGTTGGATCAGTGGCTGGATTTAATGACAAAACTGAAGGACTTTAAACTGACTGATTCAGTTGAAGACTTTCTTTCTTGGTCTGCAAGTGGGGATGGACTGTTTTCAGTGAAATCTTGTAGAAAGGAACTCGGCAAGGTGTCTGGGGAGTCCGATTTATGGGTAAAAGGGGTGTGGCAGGGTTTATCTCCTCCTCGTGTTGAAGTCTTCCTGTGGCAGCTAGCTCATCAGAAAGTGGCAGTGAGAGAGGAGTTGGTGAAAAGAGGTTTGCAGCTAGGGGATGAAATTTTATGTCCGTTTTGTAAAAAACAGGTGGAATCAGTTCAGCATTTATTTATTTCATGTGATGTTGTTTGGGAACTTTGGAACAAGATAGCAAGCTATTGGGAAATAGCCTTAGTCCTTCCAAAGGATCCACCTTCTTTGCTATGTTCTTGGGGTGAGCTGAGGGGGAAATCGTTGATTTGGAAATTTATCCCGGGAGTAGTATTTTGGTCGATATGGAAAGCTAGGAATGCAATGGTGTTCGATGGTTCCCCCTTGGATAGGATGTCTCTGTTTTTTATTGCTAGATTCAGGTTATCTAAATGGTTTCTAGCCAAGTATCCTAAGTGTCCTATTCAGGAGGATGTGCTGATTGGTGATCCATCTCTTGCAGATGGTATTAAAGCTCTCAACATTTACAATTTTCAGGTTTCTCGCTGGATTCCACCCCCTATGGATTTTTGAAGATGAATGTCGATGGAGCTGTTAGACTTGATGGCTCAAATGGAGGTATAGGAGGTATTTTGAGAGATTGGAATAGCAACTCCCTTCTGACTTTTTCAGAAAATGTAGGTCAGGGTCCCCCGCCGGTTGCTGAGTTAAAGGCTATTAAGAGAGGCATTGAAATCTATATGTCTTCTTGTTGGGTTAAGGTTGGAAGGTTGATTGTGGAAAGTGACTGTAAGTCGGCTGTGGAATGGGTCCATACACCAGCTATGGCCCCAGTTTTTATCCTCCCATTAGTTAAAGAGATTTCATCTTTTATCACGGACAGGGTGCACTCTATTAGACTGATTCCAAGGGTGTGTAATGGGGAGGCTGATAGTTTAGCAAAGATGGGAATTGGTTGATGTTTAGTCGTTTCCAGTGCGTTTTATCGTTTGAGTTTAGGTTTTCGGTTATGTTGAGTAGCTTAGTCTGTTGTGTTTTTTCAGTATGGTGTCTACGTTAAATCTTATGTAATTTCGGAGGAGTAATAAAGTTTCTAAGGCACTCTTTTCCTCCTTCTTTGATCAAGAAGGAGGTTTTTAAGGAGGCCTGTCATTCTTATCAAAAAAAAAAATCTTGAAATGCATGATTCTGGACAACCTAAAAAGATCCTTTTTGTTGCTACTGGCCTCTTTTTTTCTTTTTCAATTCTCTTATTTAAGTATTGTTTCTTTAACTGTTGTTACAAGCCTTATAGAAGGTTCTGTATAGCTCCTAAATTCATAATTTTATTATGAGTTTATTGATTATTGATATTTCAGTTATATAGGAACTTATTTTGATTAATAATAGATGAGATGGATCATCACGAAGATGAATCTCGGGCTGGAGTTGAACAGCATGGAAAACAAGGTGATGAGGTAAGATTAATGGCCTAATTAATTTCATGTGAATGGATGAATAAGGTTTACTGTCTGATCATTTGTTCTTGTTCTCAGAGTGTTTTTCTTGATAAGAAGTTACTTTGATACAGTAGACTTATATATTTTCCTTCCAATTTCAGGAAGCCGTTGCTCGCCTTGAGGAAATTAAGAAATCTATTGAGTGCAAAATGGCTCTCCGTCAAACCAATTTGAATCTTGAAAGGCCTGGTTAGTAAATTTTACTACATTTTAGGGTTTTTATATGCCCATTGCTCGTTATGGAAGTGGTTAAGTTTGTTGAATTGATTTGTATATCGTATAGTGATGTTAGCCCGTACTAGATATGCATGCATACATGATACATATATATTTGTAGATTTTCTTTCTAATTCATCTTAATAAGTTGTGATTATATTTTGGACTGGTTCTGTACAGCAGCCCTCATTATATTGCCATGGAAGCATTTGCATTTTATCTATTTTTTAACATGAATTCAGTTTCTCTGATATTGATACGTAAAAACTGTCAGGTAGATGTTAATATTTTTTCCCGTGGTTCTAGACTCTGTATTCCTCAGGACTTTGGATTCTAGCATTAAGCGCAATACAGCTGTGATTAAAAAATTAAAGCAGATAAATGAAGAGCAGAAGGAAGGATTGATGGAGGAGCTACGAAGTGTCAATTTAAGTAAATTTGTTAGTGAAGCTGTCTCTGCTATTTGTGATGCCAAGCTTAAGAGTTCGGATATACAAGCCGCAGTTCAGGTAGCTTTCATGAATAAGTTTGATCCAAAAATTGTATGGTTATATGTTTTAATAAATGCATATAGATTTTATGGTTATATGTATTATTTAATCGGTTAATTTGCTGCGAGTACATAGTCTTAGAAAAGATCTATGTTATTTTCTATCCACACATGCAAAGTTAATATTAGCATATTTGGTTTAGTTTTTGAATGTGAAAGTTTCTTATATTCTCTTCAGCTGAAAATTATGCATGGTTTCACTAGCCAAACCCAAAGACTTGGATGTCATAACAGTTTGAGCAAGGTGATTAAGCTGCAATCATGTAGGTCATTTTGATTTTAAATAAGAAAGAGGAACATTAGTCTTTTGCGTCCAAATGGGTTGTATTAGTTTCTCGAGTAATTTTTTATCTCTTTCAATTTTCTCGTGTGCACCTGTTGAGGTTTTGCTAGCAGACTTGAGTTTTAATGAAGATTCGACAATATAAGCTATGAATATTTTTTATTCTGTACAGTTCAAAGATCTATAGCCTGGTTCCTCTTATTATTTTAGTGGTCAATTTATTTGTATTTCACCTTGTCAAGTTCTGTGTCTGTCTGATAATATGCCCTAGTTTATTGTGTATATATATACACACATATACTATATAAGTATATAATAACCTCCCCTGGTTTATGTTAAGTATAACAGGATTTCTATCGCAATTGTCTATAACCTTCCCAGTTCCTTTTTATATAGATTTCTCTTCTTTTTTGGTAGTGTAACTTGTTCAATGTTTGCAAATATGTTGATGGATATAGGTATAGATTTCTTGGTATCATGAATGACATGCATTTCTGTGACATCTGTAACTGCATGTATCATTTAGGTTTGCTGGTTCTTTAATGTTGAGTTCTCTTCATATTCTATGACTTATGATTTTGCCTGCTCAAAGTTTGTAAATGTGTTGATGGATTATTCACATTTGTTCTCTGTAATATAAGAATATACTTATTTGCAACATTAATAGTCTATATTTTTCCTAGCTAGCTTTTTATTGTACACCAAACCATTTATCCTTTTTAAGTTTGTTGGTAATTTACTATTGTCTATCTGTCCAAGATCTGCTCTCTGCTTCATCAAAGGTACAAAGATTTCTCACCAAGTCTGATACAAGGGCTCCTGAAAGTCTTCTTTCCTGGAAAATCTGGGGATGATTTGGATGCAGACAGGAACTTGAAAGCAATGAAGAAGCGTAGCACTTTGAAACTTCTTCTGGAACTGTACTTTGTTGGAGTTATAGAGGAAAATGGTATTTTTATCAGTATCATTAAGGATCTTACTAGCACAGAGCACTTGAAGGACCGTGATGCTACGCAGACAAATTTAATTCTTCTTGCTAGTTTTGCTCGACAAGGGCGAGTGTTTCTAGGACTTCCTATTTCTGGTCAAGGAATTCAAGATGAGGTTTGTCTCTCTTTTTTGTTCTTTAGTTGGCCTGAAATTTGCATTTGTTTTATTTCTGTAAAGATATCATGATTTTCATTTTGAATTTTAGGTTATTTGTAGCTTTGGTTTTGATGATGAAAGTTTATGGTTTGACATGTTTTATATGTTGACACTTTGCTACAGTTCTTTAAGGGCCTCGGTATCACAGCAGATCAAAAGAAAACTTTTAGGAAGGCATTCAATGTATATTATGATGCTGTCACTGAACTTCTTCAGTCTGAGCATACAGTAAGCTTTTGCAATTGAAAATATTAACTTTAGGGGAAAATAAGTCATGAGGTTCTTATTTGAACTTATCCTTGGCAAGAACTTTTGTTTATACTTGATAAGTTTGACGGCTTGATTCTTTCATTATCTTTTGCTTTCTTTCCCTCTTCCCTAATTAATGGGGTTTTTCTTTTATAGTCTCTTCGCCAAATGGAGCATGAGAATAATAAGATTTTAAATGCTAAAGGAGAGCTCAGTGAAGAAAATGCAACTTCATATGAAAAGCTACGAAAATCTTATGATCATTTGTACCGCAATGTCTCATCGTAAGTTGCTTTATGATGTCAATTTCATGGACTTTTTATTTAATGGGAACTGGACTAATGGGTCGATTGATTGATATTAAGCTTTCCATGGTGAATATGGTATCTTTTGTTTTATTCTAATTAGTGTACATATTCATGTAATGCCTGAATGATTAATGATGTTGTGATTAACAAGTTTATGAGCCTTTTCTAAATAACTACCATTTGACATAATTGGAGCCAATTGTACTTTTCTGCACTTCAAAACTTAAATTATTAGCTGCTACTAGTTCTTACGCGCACTACATATAAATTAAGGTTTGGATATTAAATGCTTCCTCAGATGATTTGCATTGTGTGTACCTAAGATGGCTCTTCTATTATGAGTCTAGGGTTTAGATCTCTTATGACATTCAGATGAGCAATTGTATCAAGAATTGTGGCAAAAATGCTGGTTTTGGGCTTGATTCATTGTGCCTCTTTTGTGAACTTTTAGATTTAGTGATTTCTTTGAATAAAGATTGAAGTGCAATGGAATTGTGATGAAGTGTTTTTCTATTTGTCAAGACCAGTGTAGATACAATTTTTTTCACTTAATAGCAACTTTATGATGTTGGAACTCTAGACCCCAGTTTAATTAGGGTCGCTTATGTCCCACCAAAGTTAGCGGCTAACTTATCCCAGAAAAGAAAAAAATTGGTGGCTAAGATGATAAATCACTGTAAAACTGTCAGGTTGGTGCTATTCAACCCCTCTTCAAAATTTTTAGTTTTCCACTATTGAATTTTTGTATCAAGCATTCCTTTTGCATCACGAGTAAATATATGAGTTCTTTTTACTTGCAAAAGAAACCATCCATAACTGATTTTTTATTGCTTATTGCAGTTTAGCAGAAGCACTTGATATGCAGCCTCCGGTAATGCCGGAGGACAGTCACACAACTAGGGTTACCACTGGAGATGATGCTTCATCTCCAGCATCTGGAAAAGAGTCTTCGAACCTTGAAGCTATATGGGATGATGACGACACTAGAGCTTTCTATGAATGCTTACCTGATCTTAGGTATGTTGTGGTCTTTATTTAGTTAGTTAAGGAGAGACTTTCTCTATTGGGCCTTTCATTGATTTTTTTTTTTTGGAAATAAAAGATGTATTTTCATGCTTTTAAGAGCATTGTGTACATGTTCTTCACAGAGCATTTGTCCCAGCAGTATTATTGGGAGAATCTGAGTCCAAGGAAAGTGAGCAAACATCAAAGGCACAAGAGCAACCAACTGTAAGTAGATCAAAATTTTGAACATTATCATTAGTTCAATTAGGATCAATTTGAAGCTAACAATTCCTGTAGGCTTGTCTGTGCTTCTATGCTGCCAATAATACACTGTTCCTTTTGTTTTAGCATTAAGTTTTGATTGAGTTCAAGCATCAGCAGCTTCTGCTCTAACATTTCATGTTCGATGCTCATCTTTGCTCCACCAATCATTACCAACCATGATCCAAACTTTGAATCTGATTGTTTAACAAAAGAGATAAAAATTAAAAATGAAACTAAAAAAGATATTATAGAAGAAAAGCATTTTAACGTAGCAAACCTCAAAGGTGGACTGAACCATTTCTTAATTTTTTAACTGCTGTGCACCCATCCTATGCCCGAAATTCATTTCCTTTTTATCATTTTGGTGGCTAGGTGGGGCAGGATGAGTCAGTGATGGACTTAATGACTGTTTAAATTTCCTTTCTGAAAGATCTGATCTATGACTCATAAATAGTCCTCTCTATTTGATGGTTATTGGTGATTTGGTGTACCTTTTAGGAATCCTCTTCTGAAGCAGATCAAAGTACTCCAGTCACACAAGATGCTGCGGAGGCTTCTGCAGACTCTGGTACTCTGCAAGAAGGTAAAAGTATAGAGAAAGGGAAGGATAAAGATGAAAAAGATAAGGAAAAGACCAAAGATCCAGACAAGGAGAAAGGGAAAGAGAGAGAAAAAGACACTGATAAAAAAGGTGAAAATGAAAAGGAAAAGGTCAAAGGTAGCGAAGGGACAAATTTGGATGCTCTACTGCAAAGACTCCCAGGTTGTGTGAGTCGTGACCTTATTGATCAATTGACGGTAATATCTTTTTTCAGTCCTACTGTTGAGTGCCGCTTTTCGACGGGGTATTATTCAACTTTAAAGGATCATTGCATTGTTCATTGAAATTTTCAGGTGGAATTCTGTTATTTGAATTCAAAATCAAATCGGAAAAGACTTGTGAGAGCATTGTTTAATGTTCCACGGACTTCTTTGGAGTTGCTTCCATACTACTCACGCATGGTTGCAACATTGTCAACTTGTATGAAGGATGTTCCTGCTATGCTCTTGCAGATGTTGGAGGAAGAGTTCAACTTCTTAATTAATAAAAAGGTTTGCTTCCCTGTGGACCCCCCTGTTCTCTTTGCAACTGTCTTCATCTCTACATTTATTTCATTTTACCGGGTATATATAATTATAACTTATATTTCAAAATTGAAATTAACTGCAGGATCAAATGAACATTGAAACAAAAATCAGGAACATTAGGTTTATTGCAGAACTCTGTAAGTTCAAAATTTCACCGCCTGGTCTTGTCTTCAGTTGTCTGAAGGTATGTGCAAAACAGCTAACTGATAAATGTTGGTTTATATCCCCGCGCTTATTACTATGATGATACTTCCTTTCTTATGGGAGTTTATGAACTTTTTGAAACGACCAGAATTATAAAAATTAGGAGCAATCAGCTTGTTGCTCTCATTTCGTTGTCTTATAAGTTGGACGCTATAAATCCAAACCTGTTCTGGATGCTCTCTTATTCTATTTTCCTTTGTACCAGACATGTTTAGATGATTTCACTCATCATAACATTGATGTCGCTTGCAATCTTCTTGAGACTTGTGGTCGTTTTCTGTATCGTTCTCCTGACACTACCATCAGAATGGCTAACATGTTGGAGATATTGATGCGCTTGAAAAATGTAAAGAATTTGGATCCTCGACACCGCACACTTGTAGAAAATGCTTACTATCTATGCAAACCGCCTGAAAGATCTGCACGGGTCTCTAAAGTTCGTCCTCCATTGCACCAGGTATAATTTGCTTTTCCTGATAATATACTCTACTTGTTTTGATGTTAAACCTCCTTACTGAGTTTTGTCAAATACTTTTGCAGTATATTAGGAAGTTATTATTTACAGATCTTGACAAGTCTTCCATTGAGCATGTTCTGAGGCAACTTCGTAAATTACCGTGGAGTGAATGCGAATCATACCTCTTAAAGTGCTTCATGAAGGTTCACAAGGGGAAATATAGTCAGATTCACTTGATTGCTTCTCTCACTGCTGGTTTGAGTCGCTATCATGATGAATTTTCTGTTGCTGTTGTCGATGAGGTTTACTTCCTGAATTTAGTGCTAGTTCTTCTTGAGTTGAATTTTGATTCTCCTATATCTATGTTATCTGTAGAATACATTCTTCATAACTTGTTAAAATTCCTTTTAGTGTATACCTTTTGTGAACAATTGAACACTGTGGTGATAATACAAAAAAATCTGCCAATTAGGCCTATGTTTCAATTTTAATGTATAGTTTTAACCTGTAGAGTTCCTTTTTTTTTTTGGTAATCTATTTGCCTTGGTTTTCAGCTGAGTCCGTGGAGAAATTCTTGCTAACATGATATGATGGTCTTGAGGAGGTTTTCTTGTGTTATGCCTGCTCTAGAGATTCTATTATTTTGTTGTGTTAGGAAGGTAGGATGCGGGAAAATAGATGTCTCATGACCTGGACCGTTAATTTTGTTTTTTCCCCATGGTTTTAGTTGGGTATTGCTTTGCAAGGTACCTTGTTGGTTTGTTAGATATGCTTGGAGAATGCTGCCCTTTGAGAAAGTTTTGATACTTTAGGATTTGACTAGGCCTTTTTGAAATTAGACTTTTTTGTTCAACCTGAGTGTTGATGACTCCAGTGTGAGATTCTTTTTTAACTAAGATGGAAATATATTGCTATAAAGCCATGAGCTTCTATCATTAGAACTTATATTTTTATTAGGTTTTTTGCCTAGCTTCTGAGAAATTTGTGTATCTTGTTCCTGTCTCATCTTTCCTGTTGATGGTTATGGCAAATTCAAGCACAATCTTCCTTGCAGATAAGAGTAGAAGCACACACACCCATGAATTTTTCCCGTGGTTTACTCATGGTTGTTATATTCTGTACTTTCAGGTTCTGGAGGAGATTAGAATTGGCCTGGAGTTAAATGATTATGGGATGCAGCAGAGGCGCATTGCTCATATGCGTTTTCTTGGGGAGCTATACAACTATGAGCATGTTGATTCTTCTGTCATCTTTGAAACACTCTATTTGATTCTTGTTTTTGGCCATGATACAGCTGAGGTATCAAGATATCTGACTTATTGATATGATTATCAATTATATAGGGATATGGTATGCTTGCTAGGCTCGGCAGTGGTGCTTTCTAGGCACTTAAGCTCTCTCTCTCTAATTTGGTCTCTAAAACATTCATGTGTGTTTTGTTCCTTGAGCTTCTTTGGCAATGCATTCAAAGAGAGGAATTAATTTTGTAGAACATATCTGCTGATGCATTGCTGCTTCTCTGGGGATTATGATGGGTTGGGATTTAGGAATTTTAGGGTCATGCTACAGAAGGGTAGGGTTTTCTGAATTGTTTAGGTTTGATTCAAATGAGTCTTGATCTGTTAAAAGAGGGTTTGATTTGAGAAAAGAAAAAAAAATTAAATGAGATTTCTGGTTAGTTAAAAATATAGGATAAATGAAGTTTAGAAATGCTGTGAATGATGAGCCCAATAATAATAAACTCAACTCATGGGGACTACTAGGTTTTTAAACTATTAAGTAACATGTTTAACTGTAGGGTACATTGTCTCGCAGAACTTGCTGAAATTATTTTATCACCTTTGAAGAGTAATATACAGAACAATCCTAATAGAAAATTTCTAATTCCTAGAATTGAAGTTATATAGAGAAAATAAGGATTTCAAATGATTACTTCATTAATTGTTCGGAGATAAGACTGTTTATAAGAGTTTTAAACGATTTTGTTGTTATTATGTGTAAGATTTTGTACTGAATGTCGTTTGATTCAATTTTACTTGGTCTGATTTGATTGTCTCTATTGTTAGCAAGATATCCTCGATCCACCTGAGGATTGTTTTCGGATCAGGATGGTTATTACTCTTCTTCAGACATGTGGGCACTACTTTGACCGAGGTTCTTCCAAGAGAAAACTTGATCGGTTCTTGGTACACTTCCAGAGGTATATTCTTAGCAAGGGTGCGTTACCACTGGATATTGAATTCGATTTGCAGGTAAGCAAAATTGGAATGTTTATTTCAAGTTCTAGAATTTGTCCTTTGCTAATCATAGGAAAAAGAATGCTTTCTCTCTTTTTGGTGTGATCAAAGCCTGTTGAAACTGTTTTCCATGCTTGGCTACCTTTTTTAATGGGCTTAATATAGAGGATGAACTTGCATTATTAGTCCCCTTTAATACTGCAAGTGCTGACATGTTTCACTATCGACTTTTATCCATGCAATGTTAGAAAACCTATCTTAGCATTGGCGTAGAATACTATGTTTCTCGTCTCTTCATTTTCCCCAAAGTACCCATGTCCAATGGGGTGTGATTCCTCAACTATATTGGAAAAGATTGGAAAAAGGTGAGCATATCCATGTTGGACACATCCATATCCGACACTCACTTCCTAGTCAGAAAAACATAGATGTAATGCTTAATTGTCAGTATGATCTCCACGTGGTTGGTTACAATAGAACTTAAAATTTGTGGGCAAGTTAATGGTACTTCTTTTATGCATAAATATTTTTTCGTTCAGCCTCTTTTTGTATGTTTTGTTCTAAAAGGTGTCCTGTGATGTATAAATGCGGTAAATGCAGGACTTATTTGCCGAATTACATCCCAACATGAACCGGTATTCATCTATGGAAGAAGTTAATGCAGCTTTAGTAGAACTTGAGGAACGTGAACATAGTGCTTCAACTGACAAGACAAGTAACGAGAAGCACTCCGATACTGAAAAGCCTTCTAGCAGGACTACTTCCCATTCCATCTCAGCTGATCAACCAAGCATTTTGAATGGTTCTGAAGAAAATGGTGGAATGCATGAGGAAATCGGTGACGGTGACAGTATCAGTGAATCAGGGAGTGAAACCATTGAACCAGAGGGACATAATGAAGATGATTTGGATGAAGAGAATCATGATGGTGGGTGTGATTCTGATGAGGAGGATGAGGAGGATGGTGGACCTGCTTCTGATGAGGACGATGAAGTTCATTTCAGGCAGAAGGTAGCCGAGCTCAATCCTCTAGAAGTTGCCAATTTTGATCAGGAGCTCCGGGCTGTAGTGCAGGTAAGCTCTCATTTTTAATTATCGCTGTTATGTGTTTATAAGAGAAATTATCCAGTTTCTTATTGTTAAACAGAACTGCATTCAATGCGTTTCCAGGAAATCATCCCCACGTATTTCACCCTGATACAGACACCTTTGCCCCTATTCGGCCCTTTCACAAAATCCATTCCATCCAAGCTTGATATTCTAGCTTGCTTTGTGAATTTTATCCCTTTGCCGAGACTAAGGTCTACTAATATTGTTAAATCTTTGTCTAATGTGGTCAGTGAGTTCAAATTATGTAAGAAATAGTTGGCTTGCTGTTCATTTCGATTCGATTTTAATTACAGGAGAGCATGGAGCAACGCAAGTTGGAGTTGAGGGGCCGACCTACATTAAACATGATGATTCCGATGAACGTATTCGAGGGTTCTAGCAAAGATCATCACGGAAGGCTTGTTGGAGGGGAAAGCGGTGATGAAGCATTGGATGAAGAGTCTGGAGGGAGCCGGGAGGTTCAGGTGAAAGTTCTCGTGAAGCGAGGGAACAAACAACAAACAAAGCAAATGTATATTCCTCGAGACTGTACGCTTGTCCAAAGCACGAAACAGAAAGAAGCAGCCGAGTTTGAAGAGAAACAAGACATTAAGAGGCTGGTCTTGGAGTACAATGACAGGGTTGAGGAAGAGAATAACGGACTCGGAACACAGACATTGAATTGGCCAAGTGGAAATACTCGAGCTTATGGCCGTGGGAACTCATGGGAAGGATCCAGCAGCAGGATCGGAGGATCCCGTCATCGCCACCATAGCCATTCTGGAAGTGGATCTTATTATGGAAGAAAAAAGTGAGATTCATGGTAAAATGTTAAAAATTCGGATGTCTGGGTATCAGATTTGCACCTCTATTTGCCTAAACATTAGACAAAGGATTGAGAACAACAGTGGCTTGAGCTCTCAGAAACAGCCATATGATTGAATGATCCTCTTTCGAGTCCGATTTGAAACGGAATTTTGATGATACATTGCCGGTTAGCCGGAAATCGGCCTTCCTGCAAAAACTGTTGTTTCATGGGTTTTCTCATATAGGCAAGGTACGCGATACGTCTAACATGCTATTTTACTAGATATTATCCGTCTTAGTTCGGAGTACGTAGAATGGATCCCGATGTGTGGTTTCCAGGACGATGAACTGAAAATAAGCTTTTTCGGAGTGCGGAAATTGTTCGTGTTTCCGGTCTTTACTGTTTATCTGTTAAAGAGGGAAGGAATGGATTTGATTTATTATGGTTTATGTTACCCTAAGTGGTGAAGGTCACTATGACTTGTGTTTGATATATAAAATATGAATGGCACTCATTTGGTGTGTATAATTTCTTTTATAGTTTACATGTTAGCAAACACTAAACGAACGAAACAAACACCTTAAAAGATATATAAACGAACGTGAACACGATATTAAACATTTAAATGAACACAAACCGAACTTGAACACCTTAAAAGATAAATAAACGAATACAAACACGGTATTAAACATTTAAATGAACGCGAACATGACTTTATTTGTTTGAACTTAGTTCATTTACACCCCTATATGTGTGTTTGTAATGCTCATTTTCTTTTATTTATAATTTATTGTTATTATCTTATCCAATTTTATAACACTACAAATGAAGTTTTTTTATTTGGAATTGTACTCGAATAGAAAAATAATTTAAATATTACTTTTCTAAAACAACAAATGCTTATTCTATCCGGTTTACGTATAAATAGACTAATTTGAACCTGTCTCTATAATAGAAGGACGTTAAGGGCAATTTCACCAGTTTAGATCAGTAGGAGACAAGATGAATCTAAAAACCAAAAAATCTAGCCAACACATGATTTGATTCTTAAGGTGCATTTGAAGCAATTTGCAGCTAATATTGGCTTTTAAATCTTTTAGCCCAAAATTATTAAATTCGTACATCAAACCTTTATTATTCATTAATTGAAGTAAGGCCCCCTGTGCTTTTCACTAAAGTTGGATTAGGGTTCATCATTTCTGTTTTCCAGTTTATTTTTACTAAAAAGATTCCTGATTTTAATGAAATGATATTATTATCATTATTATTCTCTTAACTTCAACCGGTAATTATAGATTCGATGTGATTTTTTTGTTTAATCATTGATATTAAATTTTTTGATCGATTGAAATGCAAATATAAATATATTAATCGATCGAGGTACGAATCAGACGATCTCATTGATTAAGGGATTGCTAATATTACTCGACGTCTGAGTTTGGGCACCACGTTTGTAGGAATGTGTGAGCCTTTATTGATAAATTGTGAGCGTCTTTTGAACATATACTATATTATGTTTCATACAAATCTAATTAAGGATTGCGGACGTCGGTTTTATTCAAATGTACATCCCTAGCTCCGATATTATGCTATATTAAGTAAAATTAAAGAATAAAGGGTAAATTACGTGTTTAGTACCTAAACTATTGAGTTTGATCCGTTTCAGTACCTAAATCTTCAATTTTTTTCAAAACCATATATGAAGTTTAATTTTTGTTTCATTTTAGTACCCATCGTTAAAAACTTTAGTTTTTGTTTCATTTTAGTATCCCGTTCAAAAATTAACGTTAAGTTTTGAAAAGATTAAAAGTTTAGGTACTAAAAATAACAGTTTAGGTACTAATAGAATTAAGTTTTTTAACGATGGGGCATTAAAATGAAATGAAGACTAAACGTCATATATGCTTTTGAAAATTTTGAAAGCTTAAATATTAAAAATGACCAAAAATGATAATTTATGTACTAAATGTGTTCTTCTCCATTTTTTTCAAGCTTCTAAACTCATCATTGATGGAAGTTGGACAGGGCCATAATTTTTCTAAAATTGTGGGGCTTATATATCCTTATGGAATAAAAAGCTTTTAGCCTTGAGAAATTATTTTATTCTTGTGGGGACTAAATGATTGCAAGTAGGCCAAATAAATCAATCAAATTATCAACTTCATAAAATTTCAAAAAAAAAAAATTACGACAGCCTTAATATACAACTAAAAAAATATATTATCGGAAATGTTAATATTTTTTTAATATTTCCGATTAAGCGCTACCTAAAACATTATTTTTTTTACCGGAAATGTTAATTTCGCTACCTCATTCCAGTAGCAAAAATAACATTTTAGGTAGCGCCCAATATTAACGTTTCCGGTAGAAAAAATAATGTTTAGGTAGCACTTATCGGAAATGTTAAACATTTTAGGTAGCGCCCAATATTAACATTTCCGGTAGAAAAAAAATAATGTTTTAGGTAGCGTTTTACCGAAAATGTTAAAAAATATAAACATTTTCGAAAACATCTTTTCTTAGCCGTATATTAAGGTTGTCATACCTTAGACATCCCCGTATTTTATTCAGATTTCAAATTTTAATAAAAAAATCGAGTTTAATTTAGCTCGATAAAAAAATAAATTTTACTTGAAAAATATTTATATATATATGAGACTATTAAATGATCTCAGTGGTGAAAATAATGTGTTTTTTTCCTTTACGACTCGAGTTTAAACGGTTGTGTCTGTAGGGTTTGCGCATGTTGTCAATCTTTAAAAAAGATACTGAATCAAATTAGTCGTGCTTTGACACGTTGATATTTACGTATCAATCGTACTTAATTAGGGTTTTTAACCTAAACATGTTTTTAATAATGTAATAGTTTTTTTGTGTGTTAAACTTACTAATAAAAATAAAAAATAATTAATAAAATAAAAATACAAAATAAAATTAAGCCACTCATTTTACATGAGAATCAAATTTATCTTTCCAACATAAAATTCTATATTTTTATCATTTCAAATATGTGCATTATGATCATTTTTTATGATTAATTTAGTTGTGAGCTAATGATGGATAACTAAAGGGAAAATTTCTTCAAAGATCGGGTCGAATTGGAGCGTAATAAAAAAAATCCACTCTTTTATTCAAGGGTAAACTATACTTTTAGTACCTAAACTATCCATTTTGTTTTGTCATGGTACCTAAACTTTCATTTGTTTAAAAACTATACCTAATGTTTACTTTTTGCTTCATTTTAGTACATTGTCGTTAAAAATTTATCGGTAATTTTCATGGATAAATTACATCATTCATCACTCAACTATCTTCTCACTCCTATTTTAGTCATTAAATTTTAAAAAATTTCAATTTAACTAAACTTTCAAGTTACTCCTATTTTAATCACTCTACTTTGTTTTATTAATATTTTTTGTGTCACGACATTTTTATTATTATTTTATTAATATATAACTAAAATAATTTTTTTGGAAGTTAGAGTGATTAAATTTGGAGTAATATGAAAGTTAAATAATTAAATTAAAAGAATCTAAACTTTAGTGACCAATACAAGAGTGAGAAGATAGTTGAGTGATGAAGGATATAAATTACCCATAAAAAAGGTGCCATGTACAACTCACCCGTTAAGTTTTTAACGGCGGGGTACTAAAATGAAAAAAAAAGTAAACATTAGATATGGTTTTGAAACAAATGAAAGCTTAGTTACTAAAACGAAACAAATTTGATAGTTTAAGCATTTAATGTGTACTTTACCTAATTATATTTAAAATAAAAATAATATTCTTTTGTAAAATCAATGATATTTGATTCATTAGTCGATTAAATCGAATTAATTATGGTAGATACATATTATGAGGGTGATCCTCTCAACTTAACCTTCTTTATTTATAATAACAAGATTCGAACATTTAACTTTATTTAGACGACCTAATGTCAGATTAAATAACCTAATCCTAAAAGGGATTAGAAAGCTAAATTCTAACCCATTTCACTGTAATTTGCATCCCTAACAACAGGCCAATGCTTGTCTTTTGAACATGTTTTTATTATTAGTAATAGTATATATTTAATTAAAGTTTTTTTAAATAAAAATAGAATTTATGTTGTTTTTCTCAAAGTTCGAAATTGCTGCAAACACAATTCACTTTGGTCCCCTTTGTTGAAAACAAATTGTAGGCCATGATCTGCCCCACCTACAAAGTATAGTTTAAAGGTAAGTACTTTTAATAATATTTTTAGTTGACTTTAGACCCAAGAAAGAATATTAAGTGGAAGCATTAAAGTGTAAATTAAAGAATAATTGATAATGAAAATTGTTTTTTATTTAAATATTTTTTAAGAAAAATAAAATAAGTGTACCACTTTTCTAAAAAATAGTTGTCAAATTAAAAAAATTAAAGAACAACACATTCTATCATAATGAATTAAAAATAAGAGTAAATTACAAATTCCATCACTCAGCTTTCTTACCACACCTATTTGGTCACTCGAGCATTAACAACAAGTGACATGGCACCTACGTGTGCTGACATGGACTATTTATTGCTGACACGACATCCACTTGTCATCCATATCATTTTGCCTTTTATTTCCTTTTATTTTATTTTATCTTCTTCTCTCATGGGGGAAGTTATGCAATTTCGTCCTTGTATCATGTTGGTGTTGAAATCTTCATTCTGTAGCATCTTCTCCGACCACTCAAGACATTGATGAACTCGTTTCATTATCTTTGACCACTCAATCAATTTAGATTTTTCCAAATTCACATTGAAACTCATGAAACTCAACCCAAAACTTAAAACTTATGAAACATTAAACCACTTCGATCTACAATTTCCACCATTCAATCAGCTTGAACTCAAAATATATAGCTCACTTCATCCTTCTTCACCTCCCTACCGTTGAGATTTGAAAGCAGATGTTACATCGTTGAGAAATTAAAAGAACCCAAAATTAGGGTTTCTTCACAAAAGTGATAAAAGTTTTGAGGTTATTTCATGATTTTTAAAATTCAAATGTCTATTCATAACGACGGTAGTGTGAACAAAATAGGAGTAAATCGAAAGTTCAATGAGTAAAATGAAATTTTTAAACTTTAACAACCAAAATAATGAAAAGAAAGTTGAGTGATGAAATTTGTAATTTACCCTAAAAATAAACGAAACATATGAAGGCTTTTGAATTCATTTATCTAATTAAAATAGTTTTAAATTATTAATGTTATTCAATATGAACACACAATTTATGGGGTTTTCCAGCTAAAGAGAGTCATGATTTTGCCTTTATGTAGAAGAAACTTTTTTGCCTTTGCATGGTAATGATAATTTATGATCACCTCATGAAATAAAATAAAATAAAATAAAATAATAGAATTATGTAGCACAAGAAAGAGATTTAAAGAAGAAAAAAACATTCCCCTTTATACTTAAAATGATTAAACTAATAAAGAAAATAACTCAAATTTGATAATTTTTTCATTAAACTATAAAGATGAAATTTTCAATGCATTATTATTATGGT